TCCCCCTTATGTATTATACATGGAGATCATATCCCCCCTTATGTATTATACATGGAGATCACATCCCCCCTTATGTATTATACATGGTGATCACATCCCCCTTATGTATTATACATGGAGATCATATCCCCCTTATGTATTATACATGGTGATCATATCCCCCCTTATGTATTATACATGGAGATCATATCCCCCCTTATGTATTATACATGGAGATCATATCCCCCTTATGTATTATACATGGAGATCATATCCCCCCTTATGTATTATACATGGCGATCATATCCCCCCCCCCTTATGTATTATACATGGAGATCATATCCCCCTTCTGTATTATACATGGAGCTCATATCCCCCCTTATGTATTATACATGGTGATCATATCCCCCCTTATGTATTATACATGGAGATCATATCCCCCTTATGTATTATACATGGTGATCATATCCCCCCTTATGTATTATACATGGTGATCATATCCCCCCTTAATCTCCTCTTCTCAAGAGAGAGAATAAATTCAGTTCCTCTAATCTTTCCTCATAGCTGATCTCCTCCATGCCTCTTATCAGTTTAGTTGTCCTTCTCTGTACTTTCTCCAGTTCCCCAATGTTCTTTTTGTGAATTGGTGCCCAAAACTGAACTGCATATTCCAGATGAGGTCTTACTAATGATTTGTACCGGGGGGAAATGATATCTCTCTCTCTGGAGTCTATACCACTTCTAATACAAGAGAGGATTTTGCTCGCTTTAGAACCCGCAGCTTGGCATTGCATGCCATTATTAAAGCTTGTGATCTACCAGAACCCCCAGATCCTTCTCCACCATTGATTCTCCCAGTTGTACCCCCCCAGTATGTATGATGCATGCATATTCTTGGTCTTGAAGTGGAAACTGATTTGTCCTTTGGATTACATGAGAATTCTTTGGCTCGGCTGTTATCTGTGGGAAGCGATGACAATAATTGTTTTATTCTCATGGCTACAGCATTTGTTTCATGTCTTGCCAGCAGGCTCTGAGCAGGCATGTGTAACAAGAGGAGACAACAAGAAGTATTGTTGCCCGCATGTTTACATGGGAACTCTATGTCCAAATATAAAAACATCTGATATGGGGAAGATTGTGTTCTCCAAGGGACACTGGCATTGAGAGCACACAGATTGTGTTTTCGCTGTTTTGCATTGGTTTCCTCGTTGGCGCACCTTTAAGCATGCGCAACTACAAGGGCATTGGGATGCCACAGCAGTAATACCTGCCAGGTGCCACAGGCACGCTTCTCGTCAGCTTGGGCACAGAGAAGAAAATGATTTCTTAAGCACGTCTGTGTTTTGAGGCAATCAACCCAATACTCTCGGAAAGCCCTGGAGCTAGGGTGATGCTTGGCAGCTGTTGTGGCTGTGAATCAGGCGCCGCCTTTGCACCGGATATTAGAAGAAGAGAATATTTACTTTCATTATTAACCACTTGCCCTCCAGAGGATTTACCCCCCCTTCCTCACCAAGCCATTTTTTGTGATACAGCGCTTTAACTGACAATTGCGTGGTCATGCAACGCTGTACATAAATGAATTTTAGATAATTTCTTTCCAACAAATAGAGGTTTCTTTGGGTGGTATTTGATCACCACTGCGTTTTTTATTTTTTTGTGCTATAAACAAAAAATTACAGACATTTAAAAAAAAAACAAAACAATATTTTTTACTTTCTGATATAAAACATATCCAATTAAAAACATTTAAAAAATCTAATTTCTTCATAAATTTAGACCAAAATGTATTCTGCTGCATATTTTTGTTTAAAAAAATCCCAATATGCGTATATTAATTGGTTTGCGCAAAAGTTATAGTGTCTACATACTGTGGTATATATACTGGATTTTTTTTTTATTTTATACCTATAGCAGGCCTGTGATATTGTGGCGGACAGTCTGACACTAACTGTTACTTTGTGGGAACCAGTGACACTAATACAGTGATCAGTGCTAACAACATACACTGTCACTGTATTATTCACACTGGCTGGGAAGGGGTTAAACATCTGGGGCGATCAAAGGGTTAACTGTGTGTCTAACCAGTGTTTTTGTGTTACTATATGCTGTTTTTATTAGGCAACCTGTTAGATTTTCTTTCCCTGCTTTGCAGGGAGAGAAAAGTGTGTGACAGATCGCTGCTGACAGAACACAGCTCTGCCTTGTTTATATAGACAGAGCTGTGTTCTGTCACTCTCCTCAACGATCAATGGGTGCCAGCGCTCATCCATTGGCCGGCACCTGTTGATCGGCTTCTTCTGTGTCCAATCACAGCAGGAGCGCAAAATCAGATTTCTATACGTGATTGTGCACAGAAGGTCCACCCTGTAGCAGTAAATCTGGTGGGTTGGCCAGCGTTTTCCATGATTTGAAAACATACTTACCAGGGGCGGACTGACAACTCATGGGGCCCCCGGGTAATAGGGGATCATGGGGCTTCTGTGTCCTTGCCCACACTCAATAGCACACCCAAAAAAGCCTATAAAAGGTACCAGGGGCATTTCATGGGGCCCCCTACTGACCCCAGGCCCTCAGGCAGTGCCTGAGTGCTTGAATGGTCAGTCCGCCCCTGATACTTACACATTATTACACATTTGCCTCTTGGTGTGCTCTCCTCCCAACTATGAGGTCTGAACTCCCCACATCCATCCTGCCCCCGCCAATGCTATGTTACCTTCTCCTCTACCTAATCTTCTTGCTTCGCCCTCTGGGCAGGCACTGATGAAGTGACTCCCATGCATGCTGAAGTTCCAGTAGCCCACCATCTGGCTTCATTCCTGGCATCTGTAAGATGCCAATTCTGTACACTGGACTGCATATGCTCCACAGTCAGTCTACAGATAAAAAAGTCAAATATCATCTACAGAAGACCCTACCTGCTAGAATTTTTTTTTTTTCAGGCCTTACTTTTGCTTAAAGTGGAAACTTCCCACCTCAAAGTGAGAGGAAATCTCTTCTTGGATATTTGTCATTAGAATAGGTATCTCCATTAGGAAATCTTATCTCACCTCCTGTGGTGGAGAAAGATGTAAAGTTCTAAACTCAAAAGGTTTTTTACCTTAATGCATTCTATGGTCCCGAGTCATGCTGTATGTGTCTATGGATGCACACAGCCTGGCTTTGGAGTGTGCCCACATGTGTGCCCCCATAGGAAGCTGGCAGTGAGGGAGTGGTACCATTAGGGAGAGTGGTTCCCTTGACTGGGTGATTGGGCCAGATTGGTTGTGTCACCAGTGGAATAATCGCTTTTCTGACATGGCTCCAACAGTTTTCTCCAATTCATGTTAACTAGGGCCCATGGACGCTAACCCTGAGACACATGTGGGTGGGGACGCTGCAGATCCACACGAAAATCCGTGCAGCCGCACCACCTGCACAGAGAAATTCTAATGGCACACCGCCCGCACTGGAAAACGTAACCGTACTAGGAACCGAGGTTCCCGTGCGAACTGCGTTTTTCAAAGAAGTGCAGGGACTTCTTTCCTGCGTGTCACGGGCACGGGAGTCCATTCAAATGAATGGGCTCTCTTACCCATGCAAAACGCGGCCCGCACGGCGGCATATATGTGAAACCGGGGTTAAAGTGGTTGCAAATCCTTACAAATACCTAGTGAAGTGACTGGCCTCAGGTGATACACAGAGATGCAACAAATCCTCCTGCATAAGTTGTAGCTGTTTATCTGAGCTCCTCTTCTCTACATCCCTTCAGAGTGCAGAATTTATAAAGCTTGTCTGAGAGTTTAGAAAAATGGGAGCGGAGAGCTGAAGTTACACTCTGCAGGTCAGTGAGGAGAGCTCTGAGAGATGATTGGAGGGAAGGGACACACCTTCCTTCACACAGCTCACAGAAACAGAGCTGAGGCTGTCACTCTGCTAGAGGTTCCTCCACATTACCATTTTTCTCTTGGTGTCAGGAAAACCTGTCAGAAGTGACTCATGCTGATACCAGAGGAATGAAGCAGTAGACAGAAATAACATTTAGTTCTCCTAACTGTGACAATTACACACTATAGAGCAGGGATCTCCAAACTTTCTAAACAAAGGACCAGTTTACTGTCCTTCAGACTTTAGGGGGGCCGGACTGTGGCCATTGGGAATACAAACGGTCCTGACATCAGTGGGAAGAAACAATGCCCCGTCATTGGTGTCGTTGGGAGGAATTGTGCCCCATCATTGGTGTCACTGGACCCCATTGTTGGTGTTATTGGAAGGAATTGTGCCCTTTCGTTGGTGTCAGTGGGGGGGGGGGGGATTATACTGCATTGTGCAGGATAATAGTGTTCCAGGGGCCAGACAAAAGCAAACAAAGGGCCACATCTGGTCCCTAGGCCTCAGTTTGGAGACCACTGCTATAGAGGGATATGCTGTATTCATATTTCATTTACAGTGCATCTATGGTCAAAATATAAAATCATATATTAATTTCCAAATTGTATTTCAATTATTTCTAGCCTACTCCTCTTAATCTGAAAGACCTTGAAATTTGTAAGCCTACTTTGTGAAGATCCCTGTACATTTACACCTTTTGAATTCTGTAACAGATATTCGCTATGCTCTGTGAGCAGGCGCTGCTGTGTTACACATTTCACAGAGCCTGCCTTCTGAACTGCAGAGATGCTGAGAGGAGGAGTTTCAGGAGGCGGAGTCAGTACAGGAATCACTGCTTGCAGGAAGCAAGGTACCATGGGATATGTAGTCCTTAGAGATAGAGGAGAAGCTGTGAAGCATGCAGGAAATCCACAAAGTTGTAGGAAAACTCGGCCAGCACTCACAACATGAAAGGGGATTTTTCAAGTAACTTTATATTGTCAAATATAACTATTGTTTGTATTGCTATTACAATGCTTGCATTATAAAATGAAAGTATGCTGTGACCATAGATCTCCTTTAACTATTGCGGTTAAATGCAATGGCAATGCTATGCATTTGGAATGCTGTCCAATTCTTTCCAATTTTGGCTATGTGGTATAAATAGGCTACCTTAACCCCTTGACGCTGACGTAACACAAATATGCGGCCTCACAGAACTGGGCTTTTTTCCATGGGGCCACATATTTGCATACTTGTCTTTCTGCACAAAAAGACCGCGGTGTCACTGTTCTGACGATCGGGACCCGGGACTCCCGATTCCGAGTCACATGATCGCTGTGATAGCCTCTGATTGGCTATCACAGTGATCAGTCACTGTACAGCCCGGCCCCCTTGTTTTATTTTTCTCTCTATGAATGGCATAGAGGGGAAAAAAAATGTTTGTAAAAATAAAAAAAAGATAAATAAATATAAAAAAATAAAATAAAAAATAAAGAAAAAAATACCTAGATCAAGGTTTGATCTAGGTCAGTGCTAGGGTAAGTGCTTGGGTCAAAGTCAGGGTCAAAGGTCAAAAGGTCAGGGTCAAAGGTCAGGATTAAAAAAAATTGGTGTCAGAGTCAGTGTGTTTTAGGTAAGAAAAAAAAAATGAAAAGCAAAATGTGCACTATTGTTTCTGGGCTGTTCTGCAGGTACAAAAAACAAATAATATACACATATATGGTATTGCTGCGATCGTCAAGAGCTGGAGAATTTATTTTGGGTTGTTCTTTGGTTGTAGGTTATGGAAGTAACAAGAAACACACAGCTAAATTTAAAAAAATTATTTTTGTTTACTATTTTGGACCAGTTTTCCTTTGATAATAAAAAAATTCAGGAGATATCCATTACCATTTACCACCAAATGAAAGCCCAATTTGTCCTGAAGAAACGCAGTATAATCCACCTGGATGTTCACAGTAGTTGTGATGATATGGACGGTTTTACTAACACAGGTCAACATTGCAAAATTGTGCTTAAGCATTTGGATTTGTTTTACCCTTAGGCTTGAAGGGGTTAAAAAACAAGTTCACCTTTTGGACAAAAATAATAAATGCTAATTTTTTTGTAGGTAAAAAAATTTACATTTAATTATATTTGTCTACAGGAGCCTGGAAGGCATTGCACCAGCAATCAGTAGATGGCTCATGCCATGCAGGCCTCCTGCAGACCTGTCAGAATATCTACTCGCCGTACGGGATGTATGAGCAAGCAGATATACTGACAGGAAGCTTCAATGAGCTGTGGAGCGCCGTGGTAGTTCATTGAAAACTACCAAACTACAGCTGCTAAGGCTGTCGGGACTTGTAGTGCATTCATTCACGTAAGTCCGTGAATGAATGACACGGCCGTGTGGGCGGAGACCCACACTGCCGCGCTGTTTTCAAATCTGACAGATAGTATGGGTACTATCTGTCAGAGGGAGGGGATGTGGCGGGGCGCGGTTTCGGCTATGGGAGCATGTTACATGTTCCACCCTAAAAACGGGTGGAACGTAACATTTTCCCAAAGGTGAACTTATCCTTTAACCTCCCTGGCAGTATTCCCGAGTGTAGCTCGGGGTAAAGTTTCAGTACCAAAAGCGGTAAACCCCGAGCTATACTCGGGCTTACCATGCGGCGCTTCTCCGGGATCCTTCGATCACTTACCTTTTCCTGCGCTCCCGCGATGTCCCTCCTGCAGTGTCCCCTGTAATGTCCTCCGGCCGATGCCGGCATCTGTCATCTGGGTTCTGTCCTCTGCGACGTCGGGACATACAGAGGGACGGAACGGCGGGAAATTTAAAAATGTGAAAAAGTGACATTCATTAAATACACTAAAATCACATAGTAAAACATTACTGTATCAAACCATTTCACATACATTTTGTCCCGAGTGCTTTGTCCTGCGCCCTGCCTGCATTTTTACTGTTCTTTCTGCCTGAAAACTGAGAAAAGTCCATGGAGTCCAAAAAGCGTCCCTTTAGGTCAAAATCGGTTTTAGACCAGCTAGAGAACAGCGATAGTAAATCAGAACCACTTGCAGAATTGAGTGATAACGATTCGTGGGGGAAATTCCTCATCAGACACTGAAAACGATTTTGCGATTTTGCTCAGCGATGTGCGAACTTGGCGCTATATTTCAAATTTCAGTGTTTTTGGTTTGATTATATTATTGAATTAAATGCATTATTATTATATTATTATTTTTTATGATATTTATTAAATTATAATTTATGATTTCGTGTTTAAAATTGTAACATACCCGGGATGTTTACTAGACTCTTGTTCGGACAGATTTCAGTGAGTTATTCCTAAGAATTACAGGCCTAAAATAAAAAAAATACATATTTCCATGCAAAAAAATGTACCGCTTTGAGCACAGAAATACTGACATAATCAGACCGCTAGGGAGGCTACAGCAATGCATGACAATGCAAATGCAGTAACCCACTCCAACACAACTCTAACATAAAGGAGCTCTTGTTTTTTTTTTTGTTTTTTTTGTTTTTTTTCAGCTTGGCCTGCATGAAAATGTAGAGAAGAATAGTTGGCGGAATACTTGCTTTGTTTTTTGCCATTTAACAAAGTTTTTGGTCTGCTGCACTTAACTGAATCGGGGCTGCAATTTCATGTTATTTTGCGTGTCTAATTTCCATGAGATTGCGATACGGTGGCGTCACTAACACAGAAGAAATGTTTCTGTCTCCTTCCTTTCTGCTAGTGACACAGAACAGACACACCAGATGAGTTCAGAGTTTTTTCTCAATAGCCTATTCACGTGCTGCTGGAAACTATTTTAAGAGCCATTACTTATTGTGGTGAAAGCAAATGTTTATACAGAATATTTCAGCCCATCATTAGGAAGCACATGGCTGGAGATGAGCTAATCCATTTGCGTTCACCAGGATCCAAGACGGATTCGCAGTCCTGTTGCTGCTGTTGGCACTACCCTGAGGGCGCTTCTTTAAAGATAAAAAAATAATGATAAATATTTACACCTGGATGACTTTATGTCTTGTGTTCAGTTCAAACAAGTGTGAGAGCTCAAGATCGCTACCAAAACATAAATAAAACATTGAGTGCCGGTTCACACTGATGAGGTGCGGGATTCGCAGCAAATTCTGTGAGTTTCCCACACCGCATCACAATCGCACTTTGTTCATGGGAACTGCTGCGGGTGTTAAGTTAAAGTGTTACCTAAACCCACAACAGTAAAATCAGTCTGTAGATGCAGTACAGCGTGCTTGTTATACTCACTGTGGGACCTAAGGGGTAATCCTCTGCATTGTGTAAAAAGGTTGTTTGATCCTGTCTTCTCTTCCCCCTCCTCTTGTTCAAATGTCCACGCAGATAAGACAGACTGAACCCATAGTCACTCTGCACATGCTCAATTTGGTGTGTATTACTAGTCTTTTTTTTTTTTTTCTTGGAAGGATGCATGTGTTCAATACAGGGCCAATCAGAACTCTCCAGACAGAGATTAGGGGTTCTACAGCCTCATAGGATAATCAGGGGAGAATGAAATCTCCTCTTACAAGTTTTTTAACCAATGCTCTGCTGAAGTCACAAGACTGTTCTAACAGTTTTAACCAGTGCTCAGCTGGACACTGATAGCAGTTACAAGACTCCTATATACTGCTGATGAGAAAAGGTATTTAGCAGTTTTATATTTACTAAAATAATTGCACTTCCATGTTGTGTGTACTGTGGGAGACCAGATATAATGAATGCAGGGTCTGGGGAGACCGGATATAGTGAATGCAGGGTTCAGAGAGACCAGATTTAGTGAATGCAGGGTCCGGGGAGACCGGATATAGTGAATGCAGGGTCCAGAGAGACCAGATATAGTGAATGCAGGGTCCGGGGAGACCAGATATAGTGAATGCGGGGTCCGGGGAGACCAGATATAGTAAATGCAGGGTCCTGGGAGACCAGATATAGTGAATGCAGGGTCCGGGGAGACCAGATATAGTGAATGCGGGGTCCGGGGAGACCAGATATAGTGAATGCATGGTCCGGGGAGACCAGGGTATAGTGAATGCGGGGTCCAGGGAGACCAGATATAGTGAATGCAGGGTCCTGGGAGACCAGATATAGTGAATGCAGGGTTCGGGGAGACCAGATATAGTGAATGCAGGGTCCTGGGAGACCAGATATAGTGAATGCAGGGTCCGGGGAGACCAGATATAGTGAATGCAGGTCCTATGTTTAGTAACACTTTAACTTAACGACACACCCCCAAAAAAACGTAGTGCAATTGAATGAATCATGTGAGCACCCATGCATTCCGATTCCAGTGTGAAAAAAAAAAAAGATGCATGCCCCTTTTCTGCAGATGTGGTGCAAATCAAGCCATACAAAATAAATGACTCAAATTGCACTGCAAAGAATCCCATGTGATTTGAACAGGTATGCGGTATGATTCCTGCCCCAATCACATGCGGTTTCCAGCATCGCAACAGTGTGGACCACGCACTTAAAACGTAAGGAAGTGGAAATGGAAATAATGGCTAAATACACCTGTTGTTAATATTGTTGGTTTTCCCTCCTACCTATGCTGCATAGCTTGTTTAACCCTTTTCGCTGCCAGAGCCATTTTTGCTTTTTTTTTTTTTTTTTTGCACTTATGCTTAAAAAAATCATTTTAGGCTTGAAGATTACACAAAACCCCCAAAACATTATATATTTTCTGAAAGCAGACACCCTAGAGAATTAAAGAGTGGTAGTTCTAATTTGTTATGTCACAAGATATTACTGCAAACGTGTAGGAAACGCAACATTTCTGTAAAAAACACACTAAAGTGAATTTTAGGGCAACCAAATGCTATAAATTACCCAAATGTTTGGTAAAATATAAAAGCAGAGATTTCACTAAGTAAATAGATACCCAACATGCCAAAGCTTAAATTTGTGTGCACCTATGAAATGGCCACAAACTTCAGCACCCTATATTTTCTATAGGTGACACTTCAAAAGCCCCTTATAGGTCATCAGTTTAGGGTTACAGAGAAAGCGATGTGCTAGAATTATTTTTCTCACTTCAGCATGCGCGGCGATATATAATATGTGTATCGCAATCAACGTTTTCACGTGTTTGTGCGCCAACGTGCATTTACGTTAGTATGTATGTACAGTGAAGGAAATAAGTATTTGATCCTCTGCTGATTTTGAATGTTTGCCCACTCACAAAGAAATGATCAGTCTAAAAATCAAATGGTAGGTGTATTGTAACACTGAGAGACAGAATAGCAACAAAAAATCAAAAGAAATGCATGTCTAACAAATGATGCCCTGATTTGCATGTTCATGCATCAATTTATCTTGGGTAATATACCATTGGAGTGGGTTTTTTGTTCTTCTCTTTTCATGATATGGTGGAGTATAGCGCGTATTAATGGAATGGAGAATCAAATTATCCTGGCATTTGATCATTGAGTGGGCTGTTTTGGGAGAAACCTCCTGTTTATACCAGTGGAAGCCTTCTTTACTCTTTAATAAAGGCAGATTTGGTGAGTGCACACCCGAATGGGGGCGCACTGCGGGTACTGTACATGGTTGATAATACCATATGGTTTTCATCACGCGTTTTTTTTTTCATCACTGGACTTTATTATTATTTTTTCTATCTTTTATCACTGGACTATTATTTTTTATCACGGGACTTTAATTTGTGATATCACAGTATTGGTTGTAGTTCACTATAATTTCAGCACAATTTTGTTTTGTTTGGTCACTGGTGTATGATAATATATATGATATATATTTTCTGAGGGTATACAATGGATCGGTGATAATAGGAGAGTTATTAATATTAATAATTTTTTTAGTTCTGACACTGTGGAGTGTATGCGCCACTTTGATTCACCAGTTTGTTGTGAATTATATATATTTATCTATTCTGAAGTATCACATAGTGGCAGCAAGGGTTTTTCACTTTCATTTTTATTAATTTCTCCTTTTTTTGTTTTATCAGATTTAAATAATATTTTTATTTATTAATATTATTTTCCATCTGGCGCGATTTAGTGACATTGGATACAACTTTATATTGGTCACTGAGATATTCTGCTTCTCATCATGTGACCACACCAGAGCAGACGGATAAAAAGCTATCGTATACAGGCTACGCAGCATAATTAGGAGGAGGGGGAGGCAACATTTTAACAAAACATATAGTTAACCTTTGCTTCCACTTTCATCATGTAAGCTCTCTTAAACATTGGTTGCTGGGGCGGTATACTAGAGAGATGGTGGCTATCAAAGCATCAGCCCTGGCCAGGCTGGTTCTGTAGGGTGAGACTTTTCTGAACTCAGATCATGACTGATCATCATTCCTGGAATTACTGGACTAGCATGACATAGGATCACTGTAAAACAACATACCTAAACATTGACAGCTTTTGTGCTTGCTTCTACTTATTTTTCAATCTCATGTATTTATTTTAGATTAAAACTACTGCTACAATGTACTACTGAAGGGAGCCCAAGTCTGCACTCCTTTTCTTTTGCACAGGACAGCAAACTAAAGAAAGAAATGTTTCAAGGTTTTTTTTACCTAGAGGGTCTTGTGATTCCTCTCAGAATCATTCTATCCCTAAAGTTATGTTAGATGTTAAGGCTAAGTTCACCTTGTACATATACTGGCCCATGCAAACAAGGGACCCCAGTAGCTAAAAATACACCATGCTGTTTGTAAAATTATTGTTTGAAGCTGAGCTTTAGGTATGAATTTCATTACATAGTTACTGTATATTGGTCCAGCTAAGATCAATAAAATGATACATATCCCCTTCTTGGGCATACTCTGTGGAATCTGCAAATCACTTTAGTAGTCGCTCATACTACAGTGATAGCAGCAGTCTTCAGGGTGCTGTGCCGATCATCTGCCCACGGGGATGGTTCACTGGGCACTGCAGCCATTCATAGAACACCTTTCAATGAATACATGGTATTCTCTGATTGGATGAGGTTGAGACCTTGACATCAGCATCCTGTTCACTTTGTCCAATCATAAAATGCATGTATTCACTGGAAAATAGTACAAAGTGTTCTCTGAATGGTGGCAATGCTGAACGATCGAACCTATGTGGTTACTATACTGAAGAACAGCTGCTCGACATTGGATCCAGAAGACTTCTACTATCACTGCAGCAGTGGTGACTACTACAGTGATTTGCAGCTTCAACAGGGATCGCTCAGATATTTTTATATATATATATATATATATATATATATATATATATATACGATAAGTGCAGTGCTAAATTTATTCCAGACAAATATACAGTAGCAATGTCCATAAATGGGTTAATAGTCCGCAATACAGGAGCTCAAGGTGATATACTATTCCCACAGTCGTAGCTTATGTAAGACTCGGTGAGGGGCAGGGTATGTATAAAATGCGCACTCACCGGAAGCGCAAAGGAAATGCGCAATGTATCAACAAAATGGAGGTCTGCCAGGAGGTCCCTTTCAGGATACGGATAGAGTCAGCCCGGGATGGATGAACATCATCTGGATATATACTTTCAAACCGGAGCTCGACTTTAAGGACACGGGTGCAGCCTCTTCAGTACAGTGGAATAGTCACCAGGGGGAGCTCTGGGGGATTAAATGCTCAATGCAGAGCAACAGATGGAAATACCCATAGTGCAGTACTGTCAGAAATATTTAATGAAGGATGTTGTAAAGCAGCAGAAATAAATATCCTTATACATGTAAATGCTGTGCGCCAAACATGTGCCAAGATGTTGCGTCAAAATACAATATAGTCAGTAGTGAATATTGCAGCAACAAGCTGCTACGAGCACTAACCAGCTGGTGATCAAATGGGGCCACCGGATTTCCGAGACCCGGCGGCGTGACGTCAAAGCTTGCAGGCTCCTCAAGACGCGTTTCGTACACTAGTACTAAGGGGTGTGGTACTAATTTACGAAACGCGTCTTGGAGGAGCCTGCAAGCTGCACCCGTTTCCTTAAAGTGGACCTCCGGTTTAGAGTATATATCTAGATGATGTTCATCCATCCCTGGCTGACTGTATCCGTATCATGAAAGGGACCCCCTGGTAGACCTCCGTTTTGTTGATACAATGCGCGTCCGGTGAGTGCGCATTTTATACATACCCTGTCCCTCACCGAGTCTTACATAAGCTACGACTGTGGGAATAGTATATCACCTTGAGCTCCTGTATTGCGGACTATTAACCCATTTATGAACATTGCTACCATATATTTGTCTGAATCATATTTAGCGCGGCACTTATCGTATATATATGTCTCTTGAAAGGTTTATGGTTTCCTTTACTGTGCACAGCTGCTTTTTATGAGTTTGTATTTTGAGCGCTCGCTGAGTTCTTTTATCAGATATGAAATATGTATATGAGAAACATATAACTACATTAGTCCAAGCTGGACCAATGTAACTATGTAAAATAATTCATACCTAAACTTCAGCTTTAATGAAAATGCTATACCTGTAGGCCTTTTCGGTCACCCATGAAGCCTGGCCAAAATGCTCCCAACGTTTACATTCCTGCACCCTGTCCTATTTCCAGGATACAATGGCAACTATTTAGTTGTTCTTTAAAGGATGTTAACTTTTGGTAACGCGTTACTTGTGTAGTACCCTCTAGTGTGCTACTAGGGTTAGTGTAGGTAAATTTATTGTGTATGACTCATGGTACCTGTGTGAGTTGACAAGTTGGGTTACTGCAGTTCAGGCTGGATGACTTAACAGATTGTGACTCTATTGCCTCCACTTGGTTCTGAAGGACTATGCAGGCTTCCAAAAGCCAGTGGGCGGAAGCAGTGGAGACCTAAATCTGCATGTTTATGGGAGTCTAACCAATCCCAGGTTTGGAGGCCCTGGTAGAGCAGCGAGTCAAACCCATAAATATGGGAGAGTCAGGTGGAAGATGGAGTGCTGTAGTTGCTCTTGGTGCCCTGGGAGGGGTCCCCTAGGTCTAGGGGGCTGACCTCCAGGCTGGGCTTGAGCTGGCTCAGGAGGATCTATTTAGCATCATGGTATGAGCAGAATCAAGGCATGAGAGCAGTGGGAGCAAGGAGGAAAGCATGAGTACATTAGCACACCAAGTGTAAGGGAAATAACTCACTTTCACAGGTTCACAGGTACACAGGATTCAAAGAGACCAGAAGGCACTGAATGACAGCTCAGGGCTGTTTAAATATCCCGCCCTGCGCTGTCATTGGTGCCAGGCGCGTGTCCGCGGTCTCTACTGCGCATGCGCAAACTTGGTTGCCGCGGTCGGGCCAGGTCCCGGCGCCCGCGTCTCTGCACAGGG